TGGGAGAATAGAAATAGAAGGAAGCAGAATGATGAGAAAGGGGAATATTACATTTATTATTGTTCTAAAGCACTGAAATATACTCATTGAACAAATTTCAGCCATTGAAAGAGCCATTTAAAAACAAAAGAGTGCATGTTTGGTTTTCTGTCTTTTAACTACCAACAACAGAGGGACTGAAAACTTATTTTATGATCGTCCAGGCAATGTTAAGAAAAAGCAAGGTCCCACGATCCAGGAGAGATGAAATCGAGCATCTGTTTCAAGACCACGCAGATGGCAAAACCACCTTATCTGCAAGTGGCCTGCTGAGATTTCTTCACCAGGAACAAAAGGAGTTTTTAGCAGACGAAGACACGGCCGAGGCTCTGATTGACAGATATGAGATTGAAACGGCAGGTAAGTGGGGAGAACTTTTCACTGCATCAACCAGGTTGGAAAAAAATGTTTTAAAAGAAATCTGATCCGGCTTCAATGTAATACTTTTCCATTAATAATGTGAATTAAAACCTTAATGCCAAATTGAAAGGGTGTACATGGTAAGAAAAGGACTCATGACTGGAAAAGTAGAGCAGGTATTGCTAAAAGCTCAATGGGATTCAAAGTGAGTCATCTCATATTAGAAAACAGGAAATATAATGGAACAAACTCACAATTAGTCTGTGTCACATTTAGTAATTTAGTATTCATTTTATCTAGCAATGTTTTTTTTAAAAGCCACAAAAAAAAACACTCTACCCGTGCCTTAATAATAATAATATTATTATTCTTTTATTCATATTCTACCTATCAATGAAGATCAGAGTTTAGAGGTACATTTTATATCTATGTCTTTCTCTTTCCAAGGATTGTATATCTGACATAAAACAGCGGACATTTTCTCCTAACTGGACACAAACTAGTTGCCTCATGGGCAAGGAAGGAAATCTAAAGCACTTCATAAATCGCTGCAACAAAATATTGAATGATGCGCCTCTCAAAATCTCCTTAATAATCATTTAACATTCAAATGCCAACTAGTAAATCCGAGGTACTGCCTAAGAGGAAAAAAAACTTCCTTACCACCATCACTATTGTGTGCAATGGGGGATCAGAGATGCTGTCAGCTTGTTTCTCCTTCAGAAGTTCATTGGAACTTTGCAAAATGCAACGGCTCCATGATCTCTGAGAAACATACCAGGAGTTCATTGGTCAAAATCTGGTTCACTCCACCAGAAAACTAAAAGTGGGTTTTCACTAGGATGAACTGATTTCAGAAAAACATATGTGGGACAACTAGGATTCTTATGTGGGACAATGCTGGACAGATGCAGCTTTTTCACCTGTGTTTCTCTTTTGAGATTTACTTTTACTCTAATGCTTTGCAGTGCATTGCCCTCACATTAAATAATAAATTCGGTAACTTTGTAGTGCCTTTTTTTTCTTTAATGGTTTTTGTATAATAATCCTTTACCTGTTCTTTTATAAGAGCATAGTGTGTAGCTCGGACATGTCGTCTATCTATAGAGACAGTGATTATTGGATGCTTTTTGTTTGAAAATTATCTTTAGCTCAACTGAAAGAAGCGTACCTGTGAACAGCAGGTTTGAAACCTTGCCAAAGTTTAACTCTAGGCTCTAACAGGCCCATCCGTAGGTCTAAACTATTTTATAACAGTTACAAAAGAGTCAAATAATACAATCCACCGGACTTTGTTTCCAAGTTTGAAGACATTTTGCTTCCCATCCACACAGATTTTTCAATTCAAAATTCATTCTTCAGTTCATTTTGAATTCAAAAAGCTTCTGGAATTTAATTTAAACCTGATAAGTAACCCAGAATGCCCTATATTTAGCCACCACTATCTTAAAACCAGCTATGATCCAGTTCATGCTGCCCCTGGATTTTTTTATTTCCATACAGCAGGTTTCCTCAATTCTGTTCCTCGAGGTTAGTAGTTCTGCACCTTTTAGATGTGGCTTTGCCTCAACATACCTGGTCCAGTCATGATGTTATTAGCAAGACTTTGGAGAACCTGACTGCATATTAAAGAGTTTTTTTAGTCGTTTGATTTAGGTCTCGAGGCAAAGACACATTAAGAAGGAGCAGGACACCTTTTTGTTTTGAACAATAG